CCTTCAGTTGTTGGCGATCTATAGCCTGTTTTTGTATTGTATTGTCTAAATAGTGCTATCAGTTTTAACTTTCCACACTAGTTTTAGTTGTAATTGTGATATTCTAGTTGTTTTACTGTCTTTCGTCGACAGGTTTTTTATAATATACATATATTCCATTTCAATGTCAAATATGTTCTCGTCACGATATGGCTGAAATACTGCCGATGTGACGTTAAATACTAACTCACTCACTCACTTTTCTTTGTCACTTTGTCTATACGATGTCTTTGACTGAGATTAATGAAACTTATTTCACACTTAATGTATAGTTTGGCATGAAATGCATGTGGACCCGGTTTTTTGTAAATATCTCTTCATCCAATGACCCAATCGATCTCAAACTGTGCAAGTGGATGTTTTGTCAGACAACCTAATCACATTGTAAATCACCAATTTTATGCATTTGTATTAAAGAATCTGTCTATGTAACTGTCACCAAAATAAACAGCAGAACGCAAACTGCTTGCAGAGGGAGGGAGCCAATGACCTGTAACAGCGGCAGTGTTGGGTCACTGAAAAACTGAAACTATAGGCTGTAGTGGGCTGTCGGATGAAGGTTCACGTAACAGAAATAATTTACTAACCTGGACATGTCAAATCGACCAGGGTCCTAGTGACTACAATGTTTTGAAAGCTGGAAAAAAATATTGGATGCTTGAAAGGTGAACTTTTCTTCAGTAATTCACATTGACCATTATCATCATAGTTCACGGCAATTCCTGCATCGCGAAGCATACGACTTGATGGACAAGCTTTTAGGTGGATAACTGTGTAAGAATCTACATCGAAGCCTCGCTCTATGCAATAAACAAGAAGTTTTGTTCATAAAATCGCATGGTTCGTTATTGACTCACCAACTTCAAGCTTGCCGATCAAATAAATTCTTCTATCGTTTACGTTTATTGCGAAGTGGTGCAAATCAACGTCGTAACGTTATATAACGCATTGACGTGAATCGTTCAAGATGACGTTCATGGCATTACAGATGTTTTAATGTGAAATATACAATTTAGCATCGATTTTGTGTGATTGTGGAAAGAGTTTTGCCGCTTTTATTGAGGCACTCTTCTCAACAACGACCGTCGGTAAACTAGTAATTGTAGAATAAAGTGAATCTGATCTAGAATGACCTTTCTGTTGGAAACTATAAAGCGTTTGATGAAATTACCCAAACAATTAAATTATCTTCTTGAGCTGAGCAGTGATCACAACGTCATTTCGAAAGTGTTCAAATGTAAAGAAATACATACACAATACAAAAATAAATTAATTTAGCACCCCTGTAGTTTTGCAATGATATGTAATCAATACGTACATAAAACCTCATGGTGACAACGTTGGAAAAACATGAGTCTTTTTGACCCGTATGATGCTTTGACTCATAAAAAACGACAAAATCATTGGAATCCATGTTAATTTTCATACAAAACCATGTCTGTACAAGTATGGCCCTGGAATTTAATGTTGAATTTATTGGTGAATCTGAACATTCAAACTGTCATTTTGCGTGTCTTACACGATTCAATGTCAATACCGAGTGTAACCTCCATGTGACTGTATGACAGCCAGCACTCTCCTCCTCATACCCCCTGTCAGCCTCCTGATCCTCTGAAGGGTCAGTCTACGCCATTCCTCGTGTAAATCAGCTTCCAATTGGGCCAGTTTCTGTACAGGAGGTTCCCCTTCTTGCACACAACGATCAATCATGTCCCAGATATACTCCAAAGGGTTAAGATCTTTGTGTATATATTGGCGATTACACTTTTTTAGTGAAGCACAAATTCAAATACGTTTTTTCGGGTTGAGTCCAATCCGGAATTCGAACGGACACTTCTCAGAGTAAGGCATCTAAGTGTGTGTTGAAATCCGTGATTCGACTAAACCCTGAATAGTACCAGACTGAGTACTTTACTGAAACAATGTACAACATTTTGTCCAGGAAAATAACCAGTTTCTGCTTTCACGTGTTTTTCATTAACCTACAAAGTCTTATTGGGCGCCTCAGTTTATTCAATACGATACACAATGACTTTTAAGAAGATCAAAGATTCTTCTGAGGCTGCGTAGCCATTTGGCATCAATCGTCAAGGACAAACTGTGAAATGGAATACATATCGATAAACATGATTTAATAAAGAAACAATGAGGCAAACAACTGCGGTCTAATCCAGTGTTATTAGTGGCTGCTAGTACCCATAACGCACGAGATGCTTACCATTTTTCGCTAACACCTGGTGTCATCACTGCTTTTCCGTGATGAGTTCATATAACTTTAAGGGGTGGTGGGGTAGCCAATTGGTTAAAGTGTTGGCTCGTCACGCCGAAGATCCGGGTTCGATTCCCTACATGGGTTAAATGTGATAAGCCCATTTCTGGTGTTCCCCACCGTGATATTGCTGGAATATTGCTAAAAGCCCCGTTAAACCATACTCACTTACTCACTTATATAATTTTACATTGCACGCCTAACGGAATCTTAAGCTTCTTATCTTTGAATATTTTCTGACGTCGATGGTTTATATTGGCCTTGATACAAATACTTGCTTAGGAACAAAGAGATTCGATTGCATTCATGCATAATCAGTGAGATTTCCTATTTCACACAATCTATATCTACTACAGCTATTAACAGATACCTGGCAACGGCTCCAAGAACAGGTATGCCCTTTTAATGTCAATGATATTTGTGACACCGACTATGATCGCTGATGAACATTCTTACCGTGTTGGGGCCGTGGTGTAGCCCAGTGGTTAAAGCGTTCGCTCGTCGCGACGAAAACCCAAGTTCATTTCACCGTATGAGTATAATGTGTGAAGCCCATTCTGGTGTACTTTGAGTACACCGGAAATTGCTAGTATTGCTGAAAGCGGCGTAAAACCTCACTCACTCACTCAATCATCGACGTTTATCTGCTATCTTAAGCTTCTCCAACCTAATTCGTTATAGCCCATCAATAAACTATTGAAAACAAACTTAAAACCTAACTCATGTGTGTGTATATATGTATACACCAGGGCCTAGATTTTCGAAGCTCTCTTAGCGCTTAGATAGTCGTAAGTGCCATACACTAACATTAACTTACGACTATCTTAGCTCTAAGAGAGCTTCGAAAATCTTGGCCAAGATCTCGATGTAAATTACTGAAACAATGGCCCGTTTTTATATTGTATTGTTGATGTATATATTTATGATAGCGTACTAGTTTTAAATTAAGAGCTGTGATAATCTGATAGTTTTAGTGTCCTTCGATGACAAGTTTTTACGTTCTAAACATATTGATTATAATATTGATATGAATTAAATTATTCTCGTCACGATATGGCTGTAAATATTGCCAATGTGACGCTAAATATTAACTCACTCATTCACTGAAACAATGCCGATGCGACATAAGATCTAACTCACTCACGCAGTGATGACAGGCGGTATTCTCGACAAGGAAAACATCACACTATTGTTACACGCTAACTATGTAGTAAAACATATATTATTAAGATATAAAGCACTGTGTTGCTATAAACCACAAGAAGTGTTTTGGTCTGACAAATCAATAAACAATGGATCTCCGAATTTGGATAACTCAACTCAGAATATATATTTTTATTAAGGCACCTACCTGCACAATTTCCCGCTGTGCCGTTGCCAAAGAATCCATTATTGCAAACACAGACAAACCCTCCAGTCACTTTTGGATAACAAGTAGCACGATCATCACAATTGTTGTTTGAGTCTGACTGGCACGGGTTTCCTTAAACAGCAAGAAGCGTGTGGTAAGGATTGTTACATAATAGTGAATGAGTTTAGTTTTACGCCGCACTCAGCAATATTCCCGCTATATGGCGGCGGTCTGTAAATAATCAAGTCCGGACAAGACACTCCAGTGATCAACAGCATGGGCATCGATCTACGCAACTTGGACACGATAACCTGTGCCAACCATGTCAGCGAGCCTGAGCACCCGATCCCGTTAGTCGCCTCTTACGACAAGCATGGGTTACTGAAGATCAGTTCTAACCTTCACAGGTAGTGAAAAGTGAGTGAATGACTGAGTGAGTAAGTTAAAATTTAAAGTCACCTCGGCAATATTTCAGCCATATAGTGACGAGAAATGTTGTACATACACAATAAATACAAGTAGTTAAATAACCCGTCATTGACGGACGCATCTTCACGGGTTTGTTAAGTAATAAATATGTCTGAAGTATAGAAACAATGAAAATCGCATTATGGTCACTTGGACGTTGATATATTCCCAGTCAGCCGACACGTGCATGGCATATCAAGACATCTGTGCAATTGCCAACAAACAGCACCATTCATGGCGGTGATGGGATGGTGGTTATAATGTATGTTAGGTCATCACATAAACTTCGTGTTTCATTTTCCAAAGTGTCATTTATGCACCTACCAAAACAGCTGGTGCCGTCACCCACAAATCCAGTATTGCAGGAACAGTTGAAATTTCCATCCGGTGTTGGAGCACACATAGCGTTACCGTCACAATTGTTGTTTGAGTTTGAGAGGCACGGGTTAACTGAAATAACATCAGTTATGGTGAGATGTTCATCAGGTAGTACATGTCTTTCCTCGGTCATTTATAATTAATGTTTATGAAGAACGATACGTTTACAATACGAATGTACCAGTCACCTTCATCCAAGATTGTTCACAGAAGCCTTAACCGTGTGATTCATTTTCCAAGTGTCTAGAGTCATTGGTGCACCTACCAAAACAGCTGGTGCCATCACCCACAAATCCAGTATTGCAGGCACAGTTGAAATTTCCCTCCGGTGTTGGAGTACACATAGCGTTACTGTCACAATCGTTGTTTGAGTCTGAGAGGCACGGGTTAACTGAAATAACATCAGTTATGGTGAGATGTTTATCAGTGAGTACACGTCTTGCTTACAATAAGAATATAGTCAGTCACCTAGACCCTAATTCGTGCACAGAAGCCCTAACCAAGTCTTTCATTTTCTAAAGTTTCTGGACATGGATTCACTGAAACAACATCATTCGGGATGTGATGATCATTACATCAAAAGACAAATTGGTTTTCGGTATTTCATCTGAACTTTTGGAAGACAATGTTAACAAGGAATTTTCTATGAGCCATTGAGTATCAGTGACTTGACCATATATTTTCTTCTTGATGACGAAAATCAGATCAGGTCTTTATGTTTCCTTGCACATGCATGGACCTACCAAAACAGCTGGTGCCATCACCCACAAATCCAGTATTGCAGGCACAGTTGAAATTTCCCTCCGGTGTTGGAGTACACATAGCGTTACTGTCACAATCGTTGTTTGAGTTTGAGAGGCACGGGTTAACTGAAATAACATCAGTTATGGTGAGATGTTCATCAGATAGTACACGTCTTTCTTAAGCTATAGTTCGCATCAGTATGTAGCTAATGTTTATGAAGAATGATATATTTACAATAAGAATACACCAGTCACCGAGATCCCAATTTGTTCGCAGAAACCCTAACCACGTGTTTCATGTTCCAAAGTGTCTAGACATGGCTTCACAGAAACAACATCATTTGGGGTATGATGATTACATCAAAATACAAATTGGTTTTCGGTATTTTTTCTGAACTTTAGGAAGACAATGTTAACAAGGAATTATCTATGACCCATTGAATATCAGTGACTTAAACATACATTTTCTTCCTGAAACCGGAACCGGTCTTCATATTACTTTAAACATGCATGGACCTACCAAAACAGCTGGTGCCATCACCCACAAATCCAGTATTGCAGGCACAGTTGAAATTTCCCTCCGGTGTTGGAGTACACATAGCGTTACTGTCACAATTATTGTTTGAGTCTGAGAGGCACTGGTTAACTGAAATAACATCAGTTATGGTGAGATGTTCATCAGATAGTACACGTCTTTCTTAAGCTATAGTTCACATCAATATGTAAGCAAGGCTTATGATGAATGACAATTTTCAATAAGAATACACCAGTCACCGAGATCTAATTTTGTTCACAGAAGCCCTAACCACGTGTTTCATTTTCCAAAGTGTCTAGACATGGATTCACTGAAACAACATCATTCGGGGTGTGATGATGATTACATCAAAAGACAAATTGGGTTTCGGTATTTTATCTGTTATTTAGGAAGACAATGTTAACCAGGAATTATATATGTGCCACTGAATGTTAGTGACATGGACATTTTGTTTTCTTCCTGATAATGGAAACCGGATCAGGTCTTCATATTTCTTTGCACATGCATGGACCTACCAAAACAGCTGGTGCCATTGCCCACAAATCCAGCATTGCAGGCACAGTTGAAATTTCCATCCGGTGTTGGAGCACACATAGCATTACCGTCACAATTGTTGTTTGAGTTTGAGAGGCACGGGTTAACTGAAATAACATCAGTTATGGTGAGATGTTCATCAGGTAGTACATGTCTTTCTTCGGTCATTTATAATTAATAACGATACGTTTACAATACGAATGTACCAATCACCTTCATCCAAGATTGTTCACAGAAGCCTTAACCGTGTGATTCATTTTCCAAGTGTCTAGTCATTGGTGCACCTACCAAAACAGCTGGTGCCATCACCCACAAATCCAGTATTGCAGGCACAGTTGAAATTTCCCTCCGGTGTTGGAGTACACATAGCGTTACTGTCACAATCGTTGTTTGAGTTTGAGAGGCATGGGTTAACTGAAATAACATCAGTTATGGTGAGATGTTCATCAGATAGTACACGTCTTTCTTAAGCTATAGTTCGCATCAGTATGTAGCTAATGTTTATAAAGAATGATATATTTACAATAAGAATACACCAGTCACCGAGATCCCAATTTGTTCGCAGAAACCCTTACCACGTGTTTCATGTTCCAAAGTGTCTAGACATGGCTTCACAGAAACAACATCATTCGGGGTGTGATGATGATTACATCAAAATACAAATTGGTTTTCGGTATTTGTCTGAACTTTAGGAAGACAATGTTAACAAGGAATTATCTATGAGCCATTGAAAATCAGTGACTTGAACATATATTGTCTTCCTGATAATTGAAACCGGACCAGGTTTTCATATTATATAATTACTTTAAACATGCATGGACCTACCAAAACAGCTGGTGCCACCACCCACAAATCCAGTATTGCAGGCACAGTTGAAATTTCCCTCCGGTGTTGGAGTACACATAGCGTTACTGTCACAATTATTGTTTGAGTCTGAGAGGCACGGGTTAACTGAAATAACATCAGTTAGGGTGAGATGTTCATCAGATAGTACACGTCTTTCTTAAGCTATAGTTCGCATCAGTATGTAGCTAATGTTTATGAAGAATGATATTTTTACAATAAGAATACACCAGTCACCGAGATCCCAATTTGTTCGCAGAAGCCCTAACCACGTGTTTCATGTTCCAAAGTGTCTAGACATGGCTTCACAGAAACAACATCATTTGGGGTATGATGATTACATCAAAATACAAATTGGTTTTCGGTATTTTTTCTGAACTTTAGGAAGACAATGTTAACAAGGAATTATCTATGACCCATTGAATATCAGTGACTTAAACATACATTTTCTTCCTGAAACCGGAACAGGTCTTCATATTACTTTAAACATGCATGGACCTACCAAAACAGCTGGTGCCATCACCCACAAATCCAGTATTGCAGGCACAGTTGAAATTTCCCTCCGGTGTTGGAGTACACATAGCGTTACTGTCACAATTATTGTTTGAGTCTGAGAGGCACGGGTTAACTGAAATAACATCAGTTATGGTGAGATGTTCATCAGATAGTACACGTCTTTCTTAAGCTATAGTTCACATCAATATGTAAGCAAGGCTTATGATGAATGACAATTTTCAATAAGAATACACCAGTCACCGAGATCTAATTTTGTTCACAGAAGCCCTAACCACGTGTTTCATTTTCCAAAGTGTCTAGACATGGATTCACTGAAACAACATCATTCGGGGTGTGATGATGATTACATCAAAAGACAAATTGGGTTTCGGTATTTTATCTGTTATTTAGGAAGACAATGTTAACCAGGAATTATATATGTGCCACTGAATGTTAGTGACATGGACATTTTGTTTTCTTCCTGATAATGGAAACCGGATCAGGTCTTCATATTTCTTTGCACATGCATGGACCTACCAAAACAGCTGGTGCCACCACCCACAAATCCAGTATTGCAGGCACAGTTGAAATTTCCCTCCGGTGTTGGAGTACACATAGCGTTACTGTCACAATTATTGTTTGAGTCTGAGAGGCACGGGTTAACTGAAATAACATCAGTTAGGGTGAGATGTTCATCAGATAGTACACGTCTTTCTTAAGCTATAGTTCGCATCAGTATGTAGCTAATGTTTATGAAGAATGATATTTTTACAATAAGAATACACCAGTCACCAAGATCCCAATTTGTTCGCAGAAGCCCTAACCACGTGTTTCATGTTCCAAAGTGTCTAGACATGGCTTCACAGAAACAACATCATTTGGGGTATGATGATTACATCAAAATACAAATTGGTTTTCGGTATTTGTCTGAACTTTAGGAAGACAATGTTAACAAGGAATTATCTATGAGCCATTGAAAATCAGTGACTTGAACATATATTGTCTTCCTGATAATTGAAACCGGACCAGGTTTTCATATTATATAATTACTTTAAACATGCATGGACCTACCAAAACAGCTGGTGCCACCACCCACAAATCCAGTATTGCAGGCACAGTTGAAATTTCCCTCCGGTGTTGGAGTACACATAGCGTTACTGTCACAATTATTGTTTGAGTCTGAGAGGCACGGGTTAACTGAAATAACATCAGTTAGGGTGAGATGTTCATCAGATAGTACACGTCTTTCTTAAGCTATAGTTCGCATCAGTATGTAGCTAATGTTTATGAAGAATGATATTTTTACAATAAGAATACACCAGTCACCAAGATCCCAATTTGTTCGCAGAAGCCCTAACCACGTGTTTCATGTTCCAAAGTGTCTAGACATGGCTTCACAGAAACAACATCATTTGGGGTATGATGATTACATCAAAATACAAATTGGTTTTCGGTATTTTTTCTGAACTTTAGGAAGACAATGTTAACAAGGAATTATCTATGACCCATTGAATATCAGTGACTTAAACATACATTTTCTTCCTGAAACCGGAACAGGTCTTCATATTACTTTAAACATGCATGGACCTACCAAAACAACTGGTGCCATCACCCACAAATCCAGTATTGCAGGCACAGTTGAAATTTCCCTCCGGTGTTGGAGTACACATAGCGTTACTGTCACAATTATTGTTTGAGTCTGAGAGGCACGGGTTAACTGAAATAACATCAGTTATGGTGAGATGTTCATCAGATAGTACACGTCTTTCTTAAGCTATAGTTCACATCAATATGTAAGCAAGGCTTATGATGAATGACAATTTTCAATAAGAATACACCAGTCACCGAGATCTAATTTTGTTCACAGAAGCCCTAACCACGTGTTTCATTTTCCAAAGTGTCTAGACATGGATTCACTGAAACAACATCATTCGGGGTGTGATGATGATTACATCAAAAGACAAATTGGGTTTCGGTATTTTATCTGTTATTTAGGAAGACAATGTTAACCAGGAATTATATATGTGCCACTGAATGTTAGTGACATGGACATTTTGTTTTCTTCCTGATAATGGAAACCGGATCAGGTCTTCATATTTCTTTGCACATGCATGGACCTACCAAAACAGCTGGTGCCACCACCCACAAATCCAGTATTGCAGGCACAGTTGAAATTTCCCTCCGGTGTTGGAGTACATAGCGTTACTGTCACAATTGTTGTTTGAGTCTGAGAGGCACGGGTTAACTGAAATAACATCAGTTATGGGGTGAGATGTTCATCAGATAGTACACGTCTTTCTTAAGCTATAGTTCGCATCAATATGTAGCTAATGTTTATGAAGAATGATATTTTTACAATAAGAATACACCAGTCACCAAGATCCCAATTTGTTCGCAGAAGCCCTAACCACGTGTTTCATGTTCCAAAGTGTCTAGACATGGCTTCACAGAAACAACATCATTTGGGGTATGATGATTACATCAAAATACAAATTGGTTTTCGGTATTTTTTCTGAACTTTAGGAAGACAATGTTAACAAGGAATTATCTATGACCCATTGAATATCAGTGACTTGAACATACATTTTCTTCCTGATAATTGAAACCGGACCAGGTTCATATTACTTTACATGCATGGATGCACCTACCAAAACAGCTGGTGCCATCACCCACAAATCCAGTATTGCAGGCACAGTTGAAATTTCCTCCGGTGTTGGAGTACACATAGCGTTACTGTCACAATTATTGTTTGAGTTTGAGAGGCACGGGTTAACTGAAATAACATCAGTTAGGGTGAGATGTTCATCAGATAGTACACGTCTTTCTTAAGCTATAGTTCGCATCAGTATGTAGCTAATGTTTATAAAGAATGATATATTTACAATAAGAATACACCAGTCACCGAGATCCCAATTTGTTCGCAGAAACCCTTACCACGTGTTTCATGTTCCAAAGTGTCTAGACATGGCTTCACAGAAACAACATCATTCGGGGTATGATGATTACATCAAAATACAAATTGGTTTTCGGTATTTGTCTGAACTTTAGGAAGACAATGTTAACAAGGAATTATCTATGAGCCATTGAAAATCAGTGACTTGAACATATATTGTCTTCCTGATAATTGAAACCGGACCAGGTTTTCATATTATATAATTACTTTAAACATGCATGGACCTACCAAAACAGCTGGTGCCACCACCCACAAATCCAGTATTGCAGGCACAGTTGAAATTTCCCTCCGGTGTTGGAGTACACATAGCGTTACTGTCACAATTATTGTTTGAGTCTGAGAGGCACGGGTTAACTGAAATAACATCAGTTAGGGTGAGATGTTCATCAGATAGTACACGTCTTTCTTAAGCTATAGTTCGCATCAGTATGTAGCTAATGTTTATGAAGAATGATATTTTACAATAAGAATACACCAGTCACCAAGATCCCAATTTGTTCGCAGAAGCCCTAACCACGTGTTTCATGTTCCAAAGTGTCTAGACATGGCTTCACAGAAACAACATCATTTGGGGTATGATGATTACATCAAAATACAAATTGGTTTTCGGTATTTTTTCTGAACTTTAGGAAGACAATGTTAACAAGGAATTATCTATGACCCATTGAATATCAGTGACTTAAACATACATTTTCTTCCTGAAACCGGAACCGGTCTTCATATTACTTTAAACATGCATGGACCTACCAAAAACAACTGGTGCCATCACCCACAAATCCAGTATTGCAGGCACAGTTGAAATTTCCATCCGGTGTTGGAGTACACATAGCGTTACTGTCACAATTATTGTTTGAGTCTGAGAGGCACGGGTTAACTGAAATAACATCAGTTATGGTGAGATGTTCATCAGATAGTACACGTCTTTCTTAAGCTATAGTTCACATCAATATGTAAGCAAGGCTTATGATGAATGACAATTTTCAATAAGAATACACCAGTCACCGAGATCTAATTTTGTTCACAGAAGCCCTAACCACGTGTTTCATTTTCCAAAGTGTCTAGACATGGATTCACTGAAACAACATCATTCGAGGTGTGATGATGATTACATCAAAAGACAAATTGGGTTTCGGTATTTTATCTGTTATTTAGGAAGACAATGTTAACCAGGAATTATATATGTGCCACTGAATGTTAGTGACATGGACATTTTGTTTTCTTCCTGATAATGGAAACCGGATCAGGTCTCCATATTTCTTTGCACATGCATGGACCTACCAAAACAGCTGGTGCCATTGCCAACAAATCCAGCATTGCAGGCGCAGTTGAAATTTCCATCCGGTGTTGGAGCACACATAGCATTACCGTCACAATTGTTGTTTGAGTTTGAGAGGCACGGGTTAACTGAAATAACATCAGTTATGGTGAGATGTTCATCAGGTAGTACATGTCTTTCTTCGGTCATTTATAATTAATAACGATACGTTTACAATACGAATGTACCAATTACCTTCATCCAAGATTGTTCACAGAAGCCTTAACCGTGTGATTCATTTTCCAAGTGTCTAGTCATTGGTGCACCTACCAAAACAGCTGGTGCCATCACCCACAAATCCAGTATTGCAGGCACAGTTGAAATTTCCCTCCGGTGTTGGAGTACACATAGCGTTACTGTCACAATCGTTGTTTGAGTTTGAGAGGCATGGGTTAACTGAAATAACATCAGTTATGGTGAGATGTTCATCAGATAGTACACGTCTTTCTTAAGCTATAGTTCGCATCAGTATGTAGCTAATGTTTATGAAGAATGATATATTTACAATAAGAATACACCAGTCACCGAGATCCCAATTTGTTCGCAGAAACCCTTACCACGTGTTTCATGTTCCAAAGTGTCTAGACATGGCTTCACAGAAACAACATCATTTGGGGTATGATGATTACATCAAAATACAAATTGGTTTTCGGTATTTGTCTGAACTTTAGGAAGACAATGTTAACAAGGAATTATCTATGACCCATTGAATATCAGTGACTTGAACATATATTTTCTTCCTGATAATTGAAACCGGACCAGGTTTTCATATTATATAATTACTTTAAACATGCATGGACCTACCAAAACAGCTGGTGCCACCACCCACAAATCCAGTATTGCAGGCACAGTTGAAATTTCCCTCCGGTGTTGGAGTACACATAGCGTTACTGTCACAATTATTGTTTGAGTCTGAGAGGCACGGGTTAACTGAAATAACATCAGTTAGGGTGAGATGTTCATCAGATAGTACACGTCTTTCTTAAGCTATAGTTCGCATCAGTATGTAGCTAATGTTTATGAAGAATGATATTTTTACAATAAGAATACACCAGTCACCTAGATTCCAATTCGTTCGCAGAAGCCCTAACCACGTGTTTCATGTTCCAAAGTGTCTAGACATGGCTTCACAGAAACAACATCATTTGGGGTATGATGATTACATCAAAATACAAATTGGTTTTCGGTATTTTTCTGAACTTTAGGAAGACAATGTTAACAAGGAATTATCTATGACCCATTGAATATCAGTGACTTGAACATACATTTTCTTCCTGAAACCGGAACAGGTCTTCATATTACTTTAAACATGCATGGACCTACCAAAACAGCTGGTGCCATCACCCACAAATCCAGTATTGCAGGCACAGTTGAAATTTCCCTCCGGTGTTGGAGTACACATAGCGTTACTGTCACAATTGTTGTTTGAGTCTGAGAGGCACGGGTTAACTGAAATAACATCAGTTAGGGTGAGATGTTCATCAGATAGTACACGTCTTTCTTAAGCTATAGTTCGCATCAGTATGTAGCTAATGTTTATGAAGAATGATATTTTTACAATAAGAATACACCAGTCACCTAGATCCCAATTTGTTCGCAGAAGCCCTAACCACGTGTTTCATGTTCCAAAGTGTCTAGACATGGCTTCACAGAAACAACATCATTTGGGGTATGATGATTACATCAAAAGACAAATTGGTTTTCGGTATTTTTTCTGAACTTTAGGAAGACAATGTTAACAAGGAATTATCTATGACCATTGAAAATCAGTGACTTGAACATAACTGTTCTTCCTGATAATGGAAACCGGACCAGGTCTTCATATTACTTTAAACATGCATGGACCTACCAAAACAGCTGGTGCCATCACCCACAAATCCAGTATTGCAGGCACAGTTGAAATTTCCCTCCGGTGTTGGAGTACACATAGCGTTACTGTCACAATCGTTGTTTGAGTCTGAGAGGCACGGGTTAACTGAAATAACATCAGTTAGGGTGAGATGTTCATCAGATAGTACACGTCTTTCTTAAGCTATAGTTCGCATCAGTATGTAGCTAATGTTTATGAAGAATGATATATTTACAATAAGAATACACCAGTCACCTCGATCCCAATTTGTTCGCAGAAGCCCTAACCACGTGTTTCATGTTCCAAAGTGTCTAGACATGGCTTCACAGAAACAACATCATTTCGGGGTATGATGATTACATCAAAATACAAATTGGTTTTCGGTATTTGTCTGAACTTTAGGAAGACAATGTTAACCAGGAATTATCTATGACCCATTGAATATCAGCGACTTGAACATATATTTTCTTCCTGATAATTGAAACCGGACCAGGTTTTCATATTATATAATTACTTTAAACATGCATGGACCTACCAAAACAGCTGGTGCCACCACCCACAAATCCAGTATTGCAGGCACAGTTGAAATTTCCCTCCGGTGTTGGAGTACACATAGCGTTACTGTCACAATCGTTGTTTGAGTCTGAGAGGCACGGGTTAACTGAAATAACATCAGTTATGGTGAGATGTTCATCAGATAGTACACGTCTTTCTTAAGCTATATGGGGGCGGTGGGGTAGCCTAATGGATGTCGTCACGCCGAAGACGCATCAGTGGGTGCAATGTGTGAGCTATTTTCTGGTGTCCCCCATGGCGCCGTTGTTGCTTGAATATTGAAAGCGGCGTAAAACCAAACTCAGAGTCAGTCAGTCTTAAGCTATAGTTCGCATCGGTATGTAGCTACCATGAAGAATGATATATTTACAATAAGAATATACCAGTCACCTCGATTCCAATTCGTTCCCAGAAGCCTTAACCACGTGTTTCATGTTCCAAAGTGTCTAGACATGGCTTCACAGAAACAACATCATTTGGGGTATGATAATTACATCAAAAGACAAATTGGTTTTCGGTATTTTTTCTGAACTTTAGGAAGACAATGTTACCAAGGAATTATCTATGAGCCATTGAAAATCAGTGACTTGAACATAACTGTTCTTCCTGATAATGGAAACCGGACCAGGTCTTCATATTACTTTAAACATGCATGGACCTACCAAAACAGCTGGTGCCATCACCCACAAATCCAGTATTGCAGGCACAGTTGAAATTTCCCTCCGGTGTTGGAGTACACATAGCGTTACTGTCACAATCGTTGTTTGAGTCTGAGAGGCACCGGTTAACTGAAATAACATAAAAATGCATCAGAGAGGGTTCGGGTGATCCTGGCATAGTCAGGCTGGTAAGGCTCATCATCAGCTCAGGGCCCTCGCCCCCTCTACACGCAGCCCAGACAGCGAATGGGACTTCTTCCAGGAAACGCTGCCAAGTCGAACCCACCATGAACTACCCGGAGAATAAGTAGACTCCCCAACACTGCAGCCTTCCGCATTACCCAGAGTGTCAGAAGGGCTGTGCTCCCGGTGGAAATATCCCGGGCACTCTCCTGATCTGTGCCAAGAGATTAGGAGGTACCAAACCAAGGGCACCGAGAACAATGGGGAGTCTGACGACAGTGAGTCCCCATGGTCCCTAGTATGGTGATCTACCTTCAGTTGTTGGCGATCTCTAGCCATTTTTTTAATATTGTATTGTCCAAATAGTGCTATTAGTTTTAACTTTCTAAGCTAGTTTTACTTCAAATTGTGATATTCTAGTTGTTTTACTGTCCTTTGATGACAGGTGTTTATAATCTACACGTATTCCATTTTAATGTCAAATATGTTCTCGTCACGATATGGCTGAAATATTGCCGATGTTACGTTAAATATTAACTCACTCACTCTGACGACAGTGTACTTGCGATGCAAGGAAGACATTTCAAAGGCGAGGTCCGCATTTTTAGCATGTTTTTCCTGAATCTTGCCAATCACGTTGCTGTCAGAAGGGACATAAAGTTCAATGATATAAATGAATTCATTGGCTTTATGAAAAAAGGACAAGATCAGCTGTGTTGGCGGGAATTCTTCTGAGACTGTATATGGGCCTATTTCACAGAAGTTTAAAAACATCATTTTCCACGACGCCCTGGACATGTTCAGTATCGTACCATGGATGGACCTCAAAGTCAAAGCCACAGGCATGGCAAAGACGGTAATAAAAGGAGCGAGCCATGCCATCATGTCTCTTAAGATATGCTGTTTGTGCCAAGGAAGGGCATCCACTGACAAGGTGTTGGACAGTCTCTGTAAATTCATTACACAGTAGGCATTTCATGTTAATAGTTTATATAAGAATCACATTTAGGCGATTGCGAGTGGGAAGTGACTGGTCCTGAGCAGCAAAAAGGAAGCCCTCAGTTTCACATTTAGACCACCGACTTCATCCATGTGAAGGAGTCGGATGGCTTGCTATTCTCTTCCACACACTGCATACATGTATATACACGATGCAGTGGTTTCTCAGAAAGTTTCTCCACAAAAGATCGACTCTGGGCATACTTGGAGAAGGACTTCACCTGGATTACTCCTATCGCTGTACCGTCCAGCAGTACATCGCCTTCAACAAAATCAACCTCATATTTCAGATTTTGTCCAACAACCTTGGCACGCTTAAAATAGCTGTGGAATTCCTTTCTTTCATCATGAGTCTTCACATGCATCACCAGAGGATCATCCGACAAATACATATGTGCAAAAGTACACCATAAAATTCTATCATGAAGAGCCTCCACATTAATCAAACCCCGACCTCCAGAATTGATTGGCATATATAAACGATTAAGAGAGGAACGAGGGTGGTGGGCTCTGTTATAAGACATGATCCTTCTGGTCAGGCGGTCAAGACTCTGGATGTCTTGTTTAGTCCAATCAACTACTCCAAAGGAATAGAAAGGGGCTGGCACAGCAAACGTATTAGTGGCTTTGACCCTGTTTCGAGCATTTAGCTCTGAGCTCCAGATTTTCTTTAAGCGAGCATTATACTCGGCCCGACATTTTTCTTGAATCTGGGCAATCTGGAACTTGTTTCCAACTTGCATTCCTTGATATTCCACAAGATGCTCAATAACTTCTCCCCCTTGTAATCTGACTGACCCATCATTAATTACCTTGCTACGTTTCAAATGAAGAATATAACATTTGTTAAGTCCACATGTCATGCCAATTTCATTAGAAAAGGACTCGCCAAGGAGAACCTGCTCTTTCAGATTGGTATCTCCTTTTGCAAGGAGCTCAGTGTCATCCATGTAAAGGAGATGAGTAAGCGGTGGTGGGGATCAGTGCTGATTTAAAGACAAACAAAAAGCAAAGGACTAAAGAAGTCCCCCTGGAATATTCCTCTTCTGATTGGAATAGATTCCGAAGTCTGCACCTGCCCCTGCGAGTACATCTCAAGTTGAGTCGACAAGCAATTCATTATGAGTAAATCAAGTAGTCGCTCAGGGAGGTCAATACAACGCATTGACTTCAGAATCCATTCATGAGGGACAGAGTCATATGCTTGTTTGTAATCAATCGAGCACATGGAGAGGATGCAGTGATATGTTTTAGCCTCTTCCAAAATCATTTTCCGTACAAGAAGTTGATCCTGGCACCCCAACATCCCTTTCTCGCCCCCTTCTCCTCTCTATATATTATATCATTGGAAGAACAGTAGGATGACACGAGGTTTGTCAAACACCCTGTATTATATTATCATTATTATATGAACAATTTAAGACAATGAACAGTAGGATGACACGAGGTTTGTCAACGCCGCACACAGCTATTATTATATGGCGGCGGTCAAATTATCTATATGATCAACAGAACAATTTGCAATTGGAACCGAATGTTAAACAGCGAAACTAAAATCCCGTTAGTCAAAATCACCTAACATGTATTTGTTTACATTAACCTCAACGGTGTGATATACCTCTAAACGGCCTATACATGTGTGGACCTACCAAAACAGCTGGTGCCATTGCCAACAAATCCCTCGTTGCAAGCACAGGTAAATCCAGCAGTTCCGACAGGTGTGCACGTTGCCTCAGTGTCACAGTTGTCCATATTGGTGTTTACACGCATTTGCTGATAAAGTAAGGGAAACTGATATTTAAACTTTAATTAACTAATATTGAAACCGATATTAATGCTGGGCAGAACGTGTTCAATAAAGACATGTTATACTCGTTTCCAAGTCGTGATAATATACAGAAACAAAACCGGAAATATATGCAAACTGGTACTTTTAATTTCAAGTATTTTAAGATTGAAATTGACTTTGAAAACCAGCGCCATATCCATTTTTGCTTTATATGATACGCTTGTGATGCACATGGATCAGTCTTTTGTGCATTTGGTCTCCATTTGTTAAGAGTGAGTGTGTATGATTTTAAGCCGTCTTAAGCAATATCGCAGCAATATCACAGCCGGGAACACCAGAGATTGGCTTAACATAATGTAAGTACGTGGGGTGTTAAACCTGGTGACGGGTAAGCTTCAACACTTGACTACCCATTCGCACTATTTAATATGAACAAATAGGCCTGGTTAGGTTCCAGGTACTTATATATTCGTTTGTTTGATCAGGAGATTCACTATATAGGTTTGAACACCTGAAGACCCCTACATGCAACACCCATGTTATGACGACTTTACTGCATAATGATTTGGAATCCTTGATTTCAAAGTAAGGCTCCGCGATTATCTTCGAAATGATTAAATAATCTCCTACTGGGTGCGTGAGCGTTTAGCAATATTCCAGCTATATGGCGGCGTTAGTAAACACTCGAGTCTGGGCCAGACGATCCAGTGATCAACAGCTTGACCATCGATCTAATGCAAACGAGATACGATGACATAATTTTACGCCGCACTCAGCAATATTCCAGCTATATGGCGGCGGTCTGTAAATAATCGAGTCTGGACCAGACAATCCAGTGATCAACAGCATGAGCATCGATCTGTGCAATTGGGAACCGATGACATGTGTCAATCAAGTCAGCGAAACTGACCACCCGATCCCGTTAGTCGCCTCTTACGACAAGATAGTCGCTTTTTATGGCAAGCACATGGGTTGCTGAAGACCTATTCTACCCCGGATCTTCACTGGTATTGTTTACATTAACCTCAACTGTGTGATATACCTCTAAACGGTCTATACATGTGTGGACCTACCAAAACAGCTGGTGCCATTGCCAACAAATCCCTCGTTGCAAGCACAGGTAAATCCAACAGTTCCGACAGGTGTGCACGTTGCCTCAGTGTCACAGTTGTCCATATTGGTGTTGCACGCATTTGCTGATAAAGTAAGGGAAACTGATATTTAAACTTCAACTAATATTGAAACCGATATTAATGCTGGGCAGAACGTGTTCAATAAACACATGTTATGTTCGTTTCCAAGTCGTGATAATATACAGAAACAAAACCGGAAATATATGCAAACTGGTACTTTTAATTTCAAGTATTTTAAGATTGAAATTGACTTTGAAAACAAGCCAGCGCCATATCCATTTTTTGCTTTATATGATACGCTTGTGATGCACATGGATCAGTCTTTTGTGCATTTGGTCTCCATTTGTTAAGAGTGAGTGTGTATGATTTTAAGCCGTCTTAAGCAATATCGCAGCAATATCACAGCCGGGAACACCAGAGATTGGCTTAACATAATGTAAGTACGTGGGGTGTTAAACCTGGTGACGGGTAAGCTTCAACACTTGACTACCCATTCGCACTATTTAATATGAACAAAGAGGCCTGGTTAGGTTCCAGGTACATATATACCGTTTGTTTGATCAGGAGATTCACTATATAGGTTTGAACACCTGAAGACCCCCATGCAACACCCATGTTATGACGACTTACTGCATAATGATTTCAAATCCTTGATTTCAAAGTAAGGCTCCGCGATTATCTTCGAAATGATTAAATAATCTCCTACTGGGTGAGCGCGTTTAGCAATATTCCAGCTATATGGCGGCGTTAGTAAACACTCGAGTCTGGGCCAGACGATCCAGTGATCAACAGCTTGACCATCGATCTACGCAAACGAGATACGATGACATGTGTCAACCAAGTCAGCGAGCCAGACCACCCGATCCCGTTAGTCGCCTCTTACGACAAGCATGGGTTACTGAAGATCAATTTTAACCCGGACCATCATGGGTCCAATCTCCTACTCACGAGGATTACAATTCCCCACGGTGCCATTTCCGACCAGGGGAGACATGCACGTGCATTCGAAAGAAGTGGGCGTGTCTCTACACGTCGCAGCTGTGTCACAGTTGTCCATGTTTTCTGCACACTCGTCGACAACTGAAATGAGTTAAATGATGTTGAGCAATTTGACAAAAGTTTCCTGATGGAATTTAGATTATTAACTACACACCGCATTAATATATATTTGCATAATGTTTTGTTTCTAATAAGGGTTTTACAGTTCCTATTTTTTGTTTAATGCCACGCTCAGCAATATTCCAGCTATATGCAGGCGGTCTGTAAATAATCGAGTCTGGACCAGACAATCCAATGATCAACATCATGAGCATCAGTCTGTGTATTTAGGATAGGATGAAATGTTTGGTTTGTTGTTTTACGCCGCACTTAGTAAAACCCAGCTTTTTGGCTGCGGTCTGTAAATAATCGAGTCTGAACGAGACAATCCAGTGATCAACAGCATGCGATGATATGTGTCAACTAGTCAGCGAGCCTGACCACCCGATCCCGTTAGTCGCCTCTAACGACAAGCATGGGTTGCTGAAGATCAGTTCTAACCCGGATCTTCACCGTTGTGTTAGAAAGAACGATTTTGTCAAATGAGTATATGATTTTGCAACTGGACACCCGATCCCTTTAGTCGCCTCTAGCGGCAAGCATGGGTTGCTGAAGATCGAGTCTAACCTTCACAGGTAGTGAAAAGTGAGTGAGTGAGTTAAAATTTAACGTCACCTCGGCAATACTTATGCCATATAGGGATGGGAAATGTTGTACATACACAATAAAGACAAGTAGTTAAATAACCAGTCATCGACGGACTGTAAAATAACTAGAGTATCACAAAAAGAGTTACAACTAGCTAGCATATATTTTTTATAAGTAGAAAACTATCTTAGACAAAACAATGTAAAAATGGGCTATTGAAGGTAGATCACCATACTAGGGACCATGGCGATTGCAGGCCAATTTAGCCACAAATTAATATTTCAATAATACTGGAGTAAAAAAGTGGATGGTTAAATTTTACCTCGAATGTTTTGGGGCTTACGTATCGGTAGTGAAAAGATATACACATGTTATCGTACTCACTCGGGAAACAATTCCCTGCAGTCCCGTTCCCGGTAAACAGTGGTGGGCAGGTGCATGTGAATGATGCTGGCGTGTCCGTGCATGTTGCCGCTGCGTCACAGTTATCCGAGCTATCCAGGCATTCATTCATAACTGTTATAAATTAAACAAAATACGTTTTTCATTAATAATGTCATCAAATAATTTGGACACTCTGTACTGATCACGAGATCTGAGCATTGATGTGCGAGTGTTCTTTTTCTATTTGTTTGTTGTTAATGCCGCACGCAGCAGTATTCCAGCTATATGGCGGCTGTCTGTAAATAATCGAGTCTGGTCGGCCAGACAATCCAGTAATCAACATCATGAGCATCAATCATCATGAGGATGATATGTGTCAGCCAAGTCAGCGAGTCTGACTACCCGATCCCGTTAGTCGTCTCGTGCGACAGGCATGGGTTGCTGAAGATCAATTCTAACCCGGATCTTCACGGTTGTGTTAGAATGAACGATTTTGTCAAATGTGTATATGATTTTGCAACTGGAGATAAGAAGTTTTTGATTGTTACTTGTGTTACAGCTGCCTCGGGTTCGGTCACAGATCTGGTCAGCAGGACAGCTGGAAGGACATGGTGGACCTCGATGAAAAAAAGTAAATATACATCTTCAATATTCAATCAGTGGTAACTTAATGATGGATAATGTATAAACAAACTATACACATGGGTAGAAGTATCGCAACACCCAATTTGTTGATAATATCAATATCTTACCATTTATCATAGTAAAAGAACTATCCATCCCTCGATTGAACTTGATAAATGGCCCTCAAGGAAATATTACCTCTAAATCTAAACGCAAAGAGAACGAAAAGCTAACATGGCACAAAATGACTATGACCGTAAGACGTTAACTCGTGCGGTCATTTTCAAGATTCTTTCATACAATCCTCAAGAAATCACATTAGTATCAATCATCGAGCATAACATCAATATTAAGAGTAACCTCCGCCACTTGTAATGACATCTCTGACCCTCCTCCTCAGTGTCTGTATCAGACGTTTAATAAGACGTTCAGCTATTGCGTTCGATTCTTGACGGACCCTTTGTCCCAATAAATTTTGTAGTGGATTTACTCCCTGGCGTATTCTTCGACTCACAGTGTCCCAAACATGATCTGGAGTCCTGCAGTGCCAATTAATGTGCGCGATATGGCCTAGCATTGTTGACCATGAACATTGGTCTTCTGTTAAGAGGAGTGTCATCGATATGTGGTGTGCAACAACCCTGTCTAGGATCACAGTGATGTACCGTTGTCTTCTGTCTCGGCAATAAAGAAGAAATAGTGATTTGTCATTGAAGCAGACTCGCTGCCAGTTTCAGAACCTATGAATGTACGGTGTTGCTCAATGCCAACCATATCCATATGGAGATAAATATCGGATTTGCAGGGTTTAATTCCGAAGACGCTTAATGATTGTTTAGTACGATACCCACCCCAAACCAGGACTTCTGCAGTCTTAGTGGCATCGTGATGTCTTAGATATAAGACTCGAATGTAGCAATCGTGTACCGGGAGGCTTACTGTTGGTACTCCCAGTTCTCAGACGATCTTATCTGAGGTGAGTATAGCGTTTTCTTTTCTTTGTGTTTTGGTTTATTGTTCAACGCCGCACTTAGCAAAACCCAGCTTTTTGGCTGCGGTCTGTAAATAATCGAGTCTGAACGAGACAATCCAGTGATCAACAGCATGCGCATCGATCTACGCAATTGGGATACGATGATATGTGTCAAGCAGTCAGCGAGCCTGACCACCCGATCCCGTTAGTCGCCTCTTACGACAAACATGGGCTACTGAAGACCAATTCTAACTCGAATCTTCACGGGTTCATGTACCGTTTTCATAAACGGGATATGGTGCACTGCTGTACGTTGAAAACACAGAATCTGGTACACTTCAGTTAGAGGACGTTCTTTGTTATTCCATCTCGGTCGTTTCCCCCACTTCCAATAAGTCGACAATCGCAAACGTGTGACATAATGTGGACTGGCGTTCGACCTTTAATATACATTGTCAGTGCACACGACTGTGTAAGTTGCATGTGCATGCTCCTTTTGATTTCCTTTCCAATTCCTTGTCGTATGGTCTTAAAGTAACTGATGTAAAAATCTGCCAAGGATGAAAACGGCTGCGTTTCTACGCTACACTAGTTAATGTACATGTGACTATCATTGTTCAATCAGAATAATTTGATTTGTGTTGAATGTTTCATGCATTATAGACGAAATCCCTTTTAGGAGAATGCAGTACAATTCGCAATTTGGGAACAATTTACGCTGTAAATAAAAAGCGTAAGCTCTCCTAGGCTCAACAAGGTTAAAATATACAGATCACATTGAAGTTACACCTCCTCAGACAGACAATCAGCTCAAAGCGGGAGTTACAGTCCGACAGTTTATGTATTGGCAATACTTACAGAGTGCAGTGAAGAGCGCATCCCGCACGCTCATTAGAGAACCAGTTGTTTCTATCTCATACACACGTTCCGCTGGCGGATCTGTAGCAATATCTTGAAGTTGGACGAAGGATATCCCCGACCCAATACCAACTGCAAACACTTCTGCTACGTTCTGAATTTTGGCAATTGCTGCTTGCATTTCTGCGGCCGTATTGCTGGCCAGTCCGTCGGTCATCACGATAGCCACGTTTCGGGCATCTGGTCGTTCTCCACGCATGTTAGCTGCAAAAATCTCATCACTTGCAGTGGTCAACGCCGCGGCCGTGTCAGTGCCAAATCGAGCCACATAATCCAATATGTTAATAGCTTCTAGAAGGCCAGCTTTGTTACTTGAATAATCATCAAAACGTATGTCCTTAGCAATTCTTGAGCTAAATGTAATTACTGATACCTGCACCTTATTAGGGTCGATGGTTGCTCCTGAAAGAAGTTCTACCAGGAATTGTAAAGCCGCCAGAAAGGTATCTATTTTAATTGAAAAGGATTCGTCTATTATGAGGCAAAGGTCTACCTTTTCAGATCCACAATCTGGAAAAAACAACAAAGGTTCATGAAACAATTTCAGATATGTTTTTGTATACTCAAATACTGATTGGTTGTTGTTTAATGCCGCACTCAGCAACGTGCCACACATACGAAAGCTAGACGACCTTTGTAAATACAGACAAGAAATAAAAAACACAATCTCGCGTAATCTGGTATTACTGACCCCACACCTACGCACACAAATTCTTAGCACCTTATGCAATGCTGGATAATAGAGTGGGTTAAGAGCTACTTAGGAAAACTCTAGAGTGATTCTGGCCAGTACGTGAGTACCTCCCTGCCATTTGTTATTAATTATCTCATTACCTGGATGCTACCAACCCACCATTTTTTAAAGCATTCCATTTGATTTACATTTTGTCGACATTGGTACTTTTACCGTTGTGTTTTCGAAATGTTTGGGTTTTCTGTAATCCTGGGATGGATGGATGTTTGTAAGTTATATCGGATACATAAAATACTTACATGGCCCGCTGTCGTAATGGTAATGTGAAGGTATATGTACAGATGAACAGTACTTGGCCATAATTGAGTCATCATTAGTGAAATTTCCATAGACTTACATGTTAATTTACTATTGCAAGATTAATTTTCACAAATTGAGTAGAAGTCATTTTATTTTGATATTGAGCAAACATCTTGGAAATCATGTTCAGCTATGTGTACATACTTTTCTTTCATCTTTCCGTTGATTAGTTATCAAATGACACCTGATTAAGCACCATATATAAGTACAACTTTTAATATATCCCATAGACAGCCATGTTAAACCTGATGGTATGTCTAAAATATGTTGTTTAAATAGTAGCAGTTTTCTTAATATTCATAGGAAAATTGAATGGAAGTTATGTCTATGTAGCTGAGATGATTTCCGAGCTGTTAGATAAGTATTGAAAGCAATTCGACCGAAACTTAATTTATGAAAGTTATTCCTGCAAGAGTTAATTAACATTTAAGTCTATGGGAATTTCACTAATGATGACTCACTTATGGCCCACTACTGTATCTGCATAGCTTACCTATCTGTGCCATGCCGTGGGTGACAATTGCCAAGAGCACTACAACGGTAGCGGCAGTCATGTTTTCAGTCTCGTTGTTGCTACTGATCCATTTACGACGATAATCGAAGTTTGTTTGTTGATCAATTGCAGTTTCTACTTGTCAAGGGATAGTGACAACAGGTTGCACGAAGATAAAGGGATTATGCACGCAACATAATGAACATAATTGGATGGATTTTATTGATGCAATGTTTCCACTGGGTGACGCCCAACACTGGACTGTTTCAGCTATACGAATACGGCATTATGAAAGATGTTTTTCCAGGCAGTCTGCACTTGACTATCCGGCCCATTACGCCTCTCTATGTAGATATACAATCTTGTTTTAAAAAAATGTCCCTACCGATGCATTCACATAATATTATTATTGAACTATCGTAATTAGATACCAAAACAGAATGCGGCCAAGCACATCACTGGGCCTGACCATACACATCCGTCAGTCGCCTCTTTGAACAAATGATGTTGCGGGTAATACTTTGTACCGATAATTTAAAATTAAGAGGACAATACACGACTAGTTATGCTCATAATAGAGGGGTGGGGTGGGGTAGCCCAGTGGTTAAGGCGTTCGCTCGTCACGCCGAAGACCAAGGTTCGCTGGCTAATTCCACTTACCCAACTTACTGGGGTGTGTGTGTGTGTGTGTGTGTGTTTTGCCGGAGATTAACAGTTACGGATCAGTGATTTCGCAGTGTGTATTTGTTACCCCTGGTTTGGTTTTGCCATAATTTCACCCAGCACTGAAATCAGAGCCAGTCAGAGCAATCTGAACTATGCCAACGACAAGTATTATTAAATGGAGATTTCCTTGTTTCTCCACTGCACTATGGCAAACGTTCAAGTAAACACTCGTTTCATTCCCGATGGACGCGGCGGTCGGTACTTGGTCTACAGGGGCTGTAAGTCCATTATCAAGATCACATCCATTGGAAGTGTTGTGAGAAAGTCTGTCGTTCAACAATCAGCACTATACAATGTAGATCTTACAAGGATGTACACTACCACCATCCAGACGAGACCCAAAGAGCAGTTGGAACCTTCCCTGCATCCCTCAAAGACATAGTCCGTGAGCAGTCCAAACTGATTTCAGCTATTTGCCAGGAAGAGGTATCAGGTAATAGATCTTTTCTTATAAATTCAGCTCATGATCAAAGCATGCTTATCTTTAGAATGAACAAGATACTAGTGGTGGTCCGATTAATTGAAATAATCGAAGATTGGTCGCAGTGCCTAAACGACCAAGCAATCGATTGTGTTTTCTCATAATCGAACACAACAAATTTTGGAAAACTTGTTTGCATCAACAATATTTTACACAAGGTTGGTTTTGTCTGTGTAAATAAATGTACATTTCATAAGCACTACAAGCTCGTTACAAGTCATGATTGAATTTATCTTAAAGAATCCAGGAAATCCGTGTTCCTAACATACTAATCATCCTTTAAATATGCGAAATTTGCCAATGGATTTTGTGCAATTTGCAAAAGACCCAATTGCAAATTACTACATGTTTTTTCTTTATTTTTTGTGCGTGCATTAACAAAGATAACAGGAACATTTGATAAATGACGCAAACCAATTATTTTCGATGATTGATCGGTTGTAATGAACCAATCATCAATTATGAGATTTTGACCAATTCCCAACACTACAAGATACTGGTCTCTATATTTGTATTGATCTTTACCACATATGTGGGTTATTTCTCTGTCTGTATTTCTAATGTTGCTTATTTATTTAGCAGATCTTGTATCCCGTGCCACTGATCATGTCACTATTGCCAGAGTCCTAACCATCAACTGTGTGAGGTCCATCCTTTACCGCAGCAGAGACATCCTACCTCTTCCACGACACCGATCTCTTCTAAGCTTTATAAGCGGATGTTGTATTAACTTGTATATATATAATTAATAAATAAAGCTAAACACTGAGTCAAAAGTTTATTCTATCACATTTGGCCCCAGATACTATTTCACAGGGAACAAATAAAAAGATTAAAGGGGATTATCACGCCCCAGTGATTTCTGCGACTGAAACAATGGGAGATGGGTAAGTGGGAAGACCCCGGTTCGATTCCCCACATGGGCACATTATGTGAAGCCCATTTCTGGTGTCCCCCGCCGTAATATTGCTGGAATATTGCCAAAAGCGGCGTAAAACCAAACTCACTCAAATATGCTCATACCTTAGTATACTCATTTTGCTATGCACACAAAAAATCAATCTGAGATTTTTAGTTGATCACTGGATTGTCTGGTCCAGATTCAGTTGTTTGCAGACCCCTGCCATATAGCTAGAATATTGCTGAGTGCGGCACAAATCTAAACTCACTCACTCTCAGATGTTATTGTTATAGCGTTCGTTTATTGTTTCATACACATGAAAAAAACAATCGCAACATATGTAGCCATTTATTTTCATATCATAAGGTTGTGTTGTATGATTATTTGGACCATTCGGGCGCACCATACATTAGTTTTAAATATGAACGTGGTACGATCAAAGGCGACCATCCCATAAGATATGTGTACCTGAAATTAAGTAAATATCAAGTTTTAGTAAACTGTATCTGCAGATCAATATCTTGGAAAATCAATTGATTGCGTTGTAGATAAGCAAGTACGAGGCCTCCTAAACGGCTCAAAGATGGCAAGTTACAGGTATGGGGAGTGCTGGCATATCATTGAGGGGTGTGGCAAGAGATGTTGGTAGTCATCTATCGACTATCAGCCGATCGGCCAGAAAACATCAGCTAACTAATCACGTTAATGTCCACCACGAGTGACAACAAATAGGGAGGATACAACCCTTATCATAATCACAACACTTCATCCGTTCCTGCCAAATGGTGTGTTAAAACAGTGGCTTCCAGGTCAAGGTTTGGCCATTGGAACGGCCCGAAATCGCCTAAACTCACCGGGTGCACATCCAAATGACCTATCACACACCCATCGTTATACCCAGAGCACAAAGCAGCACAAGCTTCAGTGGAATTTGAGGTCCTTGGGAAAGGTCCACTCTTCCGGCCATGCGTGAGGACTATTTCTGCTGTCTCCCACCTTGATATTGCTGGAATAGTGCTAAATCATGATACTCGCTGACTGTTGCTTATGTCTATGTGTTATATACGTGTAACTGTGTGAATTGTCCAACTCTATGTCGATCTTAAGTTACAGTCCGTTTGAGTCAGAAACGGACCGATGAATTGCAAATTTGATCATTGTACAAAATTGCCACATAAATATAAATAGTACACATGTTTATCATTTACTTATACCCAACAGCTTTCTGATATTTGAAAATTTTCCGGACTCCACCAAAAAAGTTGTTTAAGAAACTATCATCATTGAAAACGCAAAAGTTGTTATCTGTCGCGGCGGGGTGTGTACTATTTATATTAATGTGGCAATTTTGTACAATGATAAAATCTGCACTTCATCGGTCCGTTTCTGACTCAAACGGAATGTAGTCAGGCATTCTTCCAAAGTGTGTTGGGAGGTCCGCGAGCAAGATTTGGGGCCGGGGATTGAACGAGAGCTACTTCCATCTCACGTTTATCTCAGACGGAAACGGTTAGAATTAATCATGAGTAACCCATCGGATAACTAACGTTTTCGGGTGGTCAAGCACGCTGACTTTTCGACACTTGTCAACGTATCTCAATTCCGTAGATCCATGTTCATGTTGCTGATCTGTCCATTTTCAGACGCCTCCATATAGCTTTGATTCGACGTTGACCTTCGTTCACAGACTGACGTAGTGTCTACAGATATCAACTGTTGGCATACGTAACATCTTATCGGCTGATCGCAGCCACAAAATCAACACAACAGTTTGTGTTTGCAGCAGGATTTTTACTGACAAATTATCAACAGATCAGTCATTGGCGTTACAGAGACTCTTTAACGCCATTGCTTGATGACCAACACTGACGCTCCAATGCAGTGAAAGTGGACTGATGCAAAGAAGCAAAACGAAAACTGAAGAATAAGATAAGATATTTTATGCTCCCTACGTTTATTTAACATGTGCTACATGGTTTGTAGGTCAAAGGTTGAAAAGCCAAGGATGACTTCCTACAGCGTGTCGTTGGATCACGGACAAACTGCAAATAAAAAGTTATAAAGGTTTAGACAGGTTTTACATTCAACTGATCGATACCTTTAAAACAAAGGGTTTTCAGGGCTGTGGATTTGTCCAACAGCCAAACTGGAAAACTAAATACAGATAAAGACTTATAAACGTTGATTTGTACTCTTGTGGGTATTTTCACCTCCCAATTGAGTGAGTGAGTTTTGTTTTACGCCAATGTTTCAGCAATATTACGACAGTTGACACTATGGGTTTCACGCATTGTACCCATGTTGGGAATCGAACCTGGATCTTAGGCGTGAAGAGTGAACGCTTTAACCACTAGGATACCCCACCGTCCTCTTCCCAACTACAATTGAATACATTACTGACTGAATTTCCAAAATGGCTACATATATGATTTTGGTTTGGTTATCTGATATGAAACAGGTCACAAATAAATGTTTGCTGGACATATTTCATCTTAACTGGTCTTAAGGAGATGGTAGTAATTTCAAGTGGATGATGTTACGATCTTCCGTTTACCTACCCATACAGTTATCCATTGTACCATTCCCGAAGAACCCGTCATTGCAAGTGCAGCTGAATGCGCTGGCAGTGGCTGTACAGGTAGCAGCGGCATCACAATTGTTGGTCGAGTTTGAGGCACACGGGTCAACTGAAACAAATTGTCGAGAGAAGCGTTAAAGGTCGGCTCATTTGAAATGTAGTTTCTTGGTACAACAACGTACGAAATGTGTAACTGCAGCATACACGTATCTTACATCATCAGATGAGACATGGATAGTTACTAAATCAGGAATGAATCCGTCAGTATCTGCATAAAGTGTGAAAGTAAGGTAGCACTTTTTGTGGTGACATTTAAGCCTTGGTGTTCCAAAATGGTACGATGGTTTTTTACATTTCTTAGCCCAAATATCATGGTCATCGTTGATTGGTGGCTGATAATTGTTGTTGTTTAGTCTCTGGCGGATGGGGGGCAAGCCAACACTTATCTGTGGTTATTGATTATGATCAATATCAGGGTCTGCTTCCAGATGAGAGGATCCATGAAGATCCCGGTTAGAATTGGTCTTCCGCGACTCATGCTTGTCGTAGTGAGTGAGTTGAGATTTTAAGTCACATCGGCAATATTTCAGCCATATCGTGTAATTATAGTAATTGAATGTACTTTTTAAAAAATCTGTGAACGAAGGACAGTAAAACAACTAGATTATCACAAATATAAGTTTAAAACTTGTAATTAAATCTAAAATATTTTAACTATAATTAAGAAATACAGTTCGCTCTACCACCATGTATTGTGTTATAAAACACACTTTCGCTCTGAACTATTATAGTTAAAGTACGAGGACGCATGTATAGTTTTATTACACTATACATGGTGGTAGAGCGAACTGTATTTCTTTTCTAAGATGCCAAATTTAATACTTCCTAAGGATAATTACGATTAATTTAAGGCAGAAAACAAACGACGGTGTCCGTGACCTAAATTAAGAATCCTCGCACAGGGCTAACTGGCGCGCTGTTCTATTGATGTGTCTGCCCCCCTACGTTAAGACGAACGTTATCAGAAAAACAAATGATAAACAGTTTCATGACGGTTAACGTTCGGATTAAATATCTTCTCTAAAGTATTTTAATTACATCTGTGATTAACATAAACCATGTGAACGTCGCATTTTTTACTACCAACGTATGTTTAGATCAGTACATCCAGACGAAGCTGAGTAGTCTAGCGACATTCCACGATTGCATTGAGGGAATGAAAGCATTGCGAACGTTACCCAGTCGCTGAAAACTTTTGAGTCGAATTGATACATTTAAAACGTCAGAAAACATAAACGTAATGTTTCCACCAGTGATGTTAGGTGAGTGAAGCAACTGCAAACCAAGAAACGGGATGCAACGAAGTAGTTTACTGTAGGAGGCCGTACGAGGCGATGACAACTAACATGCATCGTGACGTCGCTTACATTGTGACGTAATGTAAAATGGTTCGATAACGAGGGGGCACACTAGAATGGCGCAGTGACGGGATAACGTCATTCAATTGTTACGTCATCAAAAACTATACCTTTATTGTCTGATAATGTATTTTGTTTTCGATTGTTCTAACCGCTAGGCATCTTAGAAATGACAATACAATATAAAAACAGGCTATAGATTGCCAACAACTGAAGGAAGATCACCATAGTAGATAACATGGGCACTTACAGTACATTTGCTTCCTGTATGGACCCGCTTGTAAGAGGCGACTAAGAGATTGGGGGCGTGGTGTCTAAGGCGCCAGGCCAGTGATCCAGCGAGCTTGAAGGTGCCGGGATCGAGCCCACCTTTGACCGGGCGTAACAACCTTGGAGTCAACTTTCTGTGCAGGCTCTTTCAGTGTTGTCACAACCCCTAGTGTACAGCACAGAACCCTGTGCACTTAAAAGAACCCACGAATCCGTTGACAAATGAACAGATGGTGGCCACATGAATACGTGCAAACACCTAGTTGCGGGTACAGCAACGTGCAGTATACTTGGACAAAGTACTGTGACTATGTGTCCCAGTCCACCCAGCTGTGAATGGGTACCTCGAAAGGATGGGGAAGTCACATTAACTCGATGTGGATTGTGGCAGCAAGAGTTGTATGTTCACCAGGGAGTTGAGATTGATAATATGATGTGCCGCTGGGATTGACATCCAATGATTGAGTGCAAGACAAAGAAGCGCTTTGAGAATGCATGTGGGATGGACTATAGCTCTATATAAATACCCATATAATATAATAACGGGATCTGGTTTTCAGACTCGCTTACTTGGTTGACACATGTCATCGTAAAGATATCGCTGCATAGATCAATTCTCGTGATGCTGATGACTCGAAAATGATCCAAAATCGTCATATATAGCTCGAGTGCGGCGTTTAACAACACACAAATCAAAATGAGACGTGGAGAACCGGAATCCAAAGCATTGGAGTCGATCGCAGCCAAACCCCTTCTATGCCCAGTTCATTTCTCTGAATGTTCTCAAAACCCTCATGAAAGATGCGAATGGTTGTGTCCATGTGTAGTGTAGTGAGTCGTTTAAACAGTCATAAGGGTATTATTAATCATAGTTTGATCAGAAGTAACTCTTATCAGGTATCAAAAGTCTTGGAACCCTGCCCTGTCAAACCTCTTCTGTGCCCAGTTAATTTCTCTGAATGTTCTCAAAACGCTCATGAGAGATGCCAATAGTTGTGTATATGTGACGCATGGTCAGTCGTTGGACAACCACAAAGGTGTCATTTTAAAACAAAATTGCTGTTGATCTTTTTGATTTCGACCTTTTTCGAGACACTCTCTTCTTCTTGAGTTCCAACAATGTCAAAGGACAGATAATTATTCTGTGACCTTGACACCATGTTCACATGGATGGTTGTTGGTGTTGGCCTTTTTAATGGTAGGGTCTTTATGACAACATCATGGCATATTACAACAAATTATCAAGCCTTGTTTTTGTTGCCACCTTGTCGCGTATACGGCTCAAAAAGAGCTTGCAACCACTGCACATGGTAATGAACTTAATCATACCTGAAATGTTAAGGGAGTACTTTACACTCTTCGTTGTGAGGTTGAGTTCCTTCAAGCCATCCCTTCGCAGATAAAAAATACTCCTTTAACATGCAAGCACCTACCATCACACACTCTACCATTGCCCACAAATCCGGCATTGCAGTCACAGTTAAATCCTCCGTTCTCCAAAGGTGTACAGGTAGCATTACCATCACAATCGTTGCCTAAACACGGGTCCACTGAAACAATGAAGCAGGACTGATTAGAACAGGCGCCTGACATCAATCTTGTCTATTGGTATGGAATCTAACCACCAAGAATCAGCTGTGTGCACACCATCTTGAACAGTATTGCAGTCATATCAGATCAATATATGTCTGGAGAACGACCATTAAGCCACAACTTAAAACGGTACCACTTCGGACCCACGAAACCAACCTTCTACATGTCATGCGAGATATTCAGGAAGTGTTCCTGGTAGTTGGATGCTATGTTTTTTTAGCGTATTTTTCAACCCTATATGATGGCGGTCAGTGAATGATCGAGTATGGACTATAAAATCCAGTGACCTAACATCATGATCATCGATCTTGGCGATTGAGATACGTTGACCATCTGTTCCCAGGAAATGTGACTATTTTTAATTTTACGTGTCTCCGCATTAATGAAACAACAACTGTCATTTACTGATTTCACCTGTTTATTGCATGTTTATATTAGGTGACAGGCTTGGTAGGTATCCGAGAAATAGAATTTGTTAATGATGTGTTATTTATATGCGTGACTTAGGGTAAAACGTTAGTCAAAATCACCAAAATGTGCATGTCTCCATTTATGTATAACATTTTGATTGAATATTTCAAAGTAAATCGTCATCTAGTGTGAACAAAACAGATGACATGTTCGACATAAGGCATTGTACCTTTCGTCCAAACCAAGAACATATCTTCATATGGGTATACTTTCTTTAGAATTTATGTTAATATGATGTCTCCAAAAAAGTGTAATCTACGGTACCCCATGAAAATAACCAAATACGTATTATATAAATTATATGTAATCATTAGATAGTATTCCTTATTTAGAGTTTGATGTCATATTGTCCAAACATAAATCTCATAGCCACTAAATTTCAGCCGATTTCTCACCATGATGCTTCACAGGTTTAAAGTTGTAGAGATTTTTTAAGGATGTAATCTACGTGACCACCATAAGATAAAAACTGTACATCGGGTGTCACCAAAATTGTTTTAAAATGAACGGACCTGTTCAGTAGTACTAACTCAGCGAAGGAGATGCACTTCCTTTACACTTTAAACGTCTGGTGGGTCTGTGAAATCTACGTTATGTGATCTACGTGACCTCATTTCCAAAGGAGCATTATCTTTTTCTCGGTTTGCACACAAGAGTAACGTACCTTTGGCATTATCCGTCCACTGGTTCCAGAAGTAGTATTGGCGCAGTCATCCAGGCGCCAAAGCTCATGGCATGACGTACATTTTGTTTAGTGGCGTGATTACCTGAATAGAACTGACCACACACTGTCCGGGCTACTCAGGTAAGGTGGTTTTATGGATCTAAAGTTATGGCATAAACTCTTCTCAACATTAAATGATTATTTACTTTTAATTGGCTTATTATTATTGCTGTTATTATACATCAAACTAAACAGTTTGGATGGATTTAGCTGTGCTTATATACTATCTGCACTTTATATAATGAATGAAAGTAAGAAACAGTTAATCTCTTTTGTATCTTTTAATGTAACTCTGCGTAATAGAATACCAACATTTCACCAATAATATTTCTATATAGATATGGTAGTGTTACGGTACCTACCGTAGATTACAAGATTTGCAATTAAGTTGTATAATTATTTGGGTTTTTTGTTTATCACAATATATTACAGATAAAACTTATGTAAAATATATTTCCAGTAACACTTACTTTCCCAAACCCTGTATAGTAAGTTTGATGATCAATTCATGCAAATTAGTTTACACAATCATGGGTACCCAATCATGATTGGCGTTTTTCGTTTTCTCCTTGACATCTCACTTTCGATAGAACATCATTTATTGTTCACAAAATTCAAACTTACTTTAACATTTTATCATTTCCAGTTTTCAGATGGTGCACATTGCGAGAGAATAGATATCACATACTCGAACTGAACAGTGGGCCTTACAACCCAGTTCCGTTAGTAGCCATTCACGACAACCATAGTTTGCTGAAGACCACTTCTAACCCGGATTCCTTATGCTATGATATATGATAGTATTGAATACACCTACCAACACACTCTCCTTCTGCACCAGTTCCTATGAATCCTGTATTGCACGTACAGTTGAATCCACTGGCTGTAGGTGTACATGTAGCGTTTCCATCACAATTGTCGGCGTTGAGGGTACAGGGATCGGCTGTTAACAAACAGTTTGACCTTGAAGCTTAAATGGGAACGGGTGGTGAAAGGCAAAACGAGTGTTTGGATCCATTGGGACAGCCTCATAACTCCAATCACGGGTTTACGAAAAGGAATAATATCATTTTTTTATCGAAAATTAAACACCGTATTCACGTGGCTGAAAAATTGCTTTAAACAAAAGTGAGTGAGTGGGTTAAGAATTTTGGACATATTGGCAGTAATTCAGCTCTATCTTGACTCAAACATTTTTGACACAACTAGAATATCACAGAAAAAAAGCAACAGACAATACTATACATGTCTATAACAACTTAACGTAGATCACCCGGCTCAAGGCCATGGAGACTAACGATACCTTTGCTTCCTGTACGGACCCTAACTGGATTTACACCATCACTTCAGCCGTTGGCGATTGTGCTATTGATCTATTCACAAAACATGTTCATAAAAATGTTTTGAAAAATTCTAATTCATTTTAAAAAATCGTTAATTGAATGAAAACTGACATTATTATAAAGATGCTACTACTTTAAACAAAAGCTCTCGTTAAGCAATAATCAATCAGCAATCTATCGAGCACCGATTTTTTGTATTTTGGTTAACTGGTGTTCTTCTACTCACGGTCATTGCAGTTTCCAACAGTTCCATCACCGACAAGGGGCGGATTGCACATGCATTCGAAAGACGATGGTGTATCTTGACAAACTGCATTTGCGTCGCAGTTGTGCGTGTTATCTGCACACTCGTTAACCGCTAAAATACGACAAACACAAGGTTGTGAGTCTGTAAATAACATATACAACATAACAACATATACTAGATCATAGGAACAATCTGGGAAAAGCAATAGGTGAAGTGACAGTAGCAAACAGTAGTGTATCTTACGTATAATACAGACGTTTGCTGGTCGATCACAGATCTGGTTGATGGTGCAGTCCACAACACATGGCGGGCCTGGAAGAGGGAGTGAATATGGTTTTACGCCACATTTAGCAATATTCCAGCAATATCACCAGACACCACGGGGGACACCAGAAATGGCTTCACATATTGTACCATGTGGGGAATCGAACCCGGGTCTTCAGCGTGAGGAGCGAACGCTTTAACCACTAGGCTACCCAACCGCCCCAAGGGAGAACAATGTATATAAACAATCCAAAGATATACAACAGTCCATGCTTGGATATACCACACACTACTACCAGGCAAATGTTCATGTAACGAATTTGTAGGTGCCACATTATAGTAAAATTTAATCTTAAAATGTTTCTATATAGTTCTGTCCCCGTAAGGCGTTTCGTCATAATTGTTGTTGCAGACGAACATTATCGATCGATATTCGAGGGATTCTTTTATTCTGTAGGCCTAAAAACTATGTTTACGACACTTGTTACTTCAAATAACACCAAGGTTTATAGAAAATACCATCAAGTCAAATCTTTTTCTACTTCATAATAAAAACCCAGCATATTCTCAAAACGACTGATAAAAATACCTTTTCCTTCTACCCATGCAACTTATGAGTTAAGAAACAAGGCTTCCAACCAGAAGTCTTCTCTTTCATTTAAAGGCTAATAGGTGTTTATCGTATGGAAGACTTTGACAGTTTGCGACCTTTGACATTAAGATCCAACTCACTTGGATCATTCAAACTATTAATATCACGAAAGGTTCTTTATACCAATTTGATTTGTAAACATGATATCTTCGATCCTTTAAGTGGAAATAGATTGGGCCTATGGATATTTCCTAAAAGGTGGTATTTTTTCAATCACAAGTTCCTTAAATCAAAGTTTTTAAGCCTACAACAGTGATGTCCTTTAGCATATTAATCGACGTCCGTCTATGACAACAACCTAAGCAAAACGTTTTGCGTCCAATATCCCGAAAGACATGGAAGAGAAACAGCTGAAAACAGGAAATATGCTTTCAGAAAACAGTAAAATCTTAAAATTCTGAAGGGTAATACATTCGTTACATAGTCTCAGTAAATACGGATGCAAACGAACAATCCCATCCCATGCAATAGCCGTGTAACTAATGTTTGTTTATTGTTTAACGCAATATTCCAGCTATGACGGCGGTTTGTAAATAATCGAGTCTGGACCAGACAAACCAGTGATCATTAGTATGAGCATCAATCTACACAACTGGGATACGATGACATGCAGCAACCAAGTCGAGTCTGTCTGGTTCAGACCCGATTTATTTACAAACAACATCACACAGCTGTAATACTGCTGGAACACATATTTACTCATTATATGGTCACAGTTGTACAATCGACTCTGCCTTTCGCAGAGGTTTTTATGAATGTGGAAAGGGTTTTTGTCGCTTCAATTTGCTGAACACAAATTTTTATCTGGATTTTCACGGGTCCCGTGATGTTACGGATCACGTGATGAGGATCGGTCTTTCATCTGCTTTAGTCTTAATTCCACTCTATCGACGAAACTGGTGCCCTATGCTTCAGTTATTCTTAGTTTCAGCTGTATACACGTGTTTCGTCGAAGGAGATTCCTCACTTTCACAGATAAAATCATGACGTTTCATTGTAGAACATACCCGCGACATAACCAGATCGATTTCATATTTTCATATGTATACCTCACATAACGTTTTCCTGCTAGTATATATCAAACATGTACATTTATTTCACACATGCGTGTTGTTCGGGTATATTCTTCGTTAAGTACGATTAGGTTTACCTAATTCCGTTTATACTTACATAGTGAGGTGAAGATCGAATCAGTTATACACATAAGGGCATCGAAAGTTGCGACTTCGTACACGTGCTCTGCACCAGGGCTTGAGGCAATGCTTCCAAGTTCACTGACAGAAACCTCGTTCCCAACACCGACTGAGAACACCTCAGCCTCATTCTGAATGTTCGTAATTGCCCGTTGAAGAAGAAGGTTTGCGTTACTGGCCATTCCATCAGTGACAACGATCACAACATTGCGGGCGTCTGGTCGTTCACCGCGCCGATTCGCTGAGAAAACCGTATCGGCTGCAAGATTCAGCGCTTCGGCAGTGTTTGTTCCTCCTCCTCTGGCGTACACCAGTCCGGTAATAGCAGTCTGTAGGCCGGCTGCATCATTTGAATAGTCATCAAAATTTATATCAATAGCGGAACTTGTTGAAAAAGTTATCACTGATACCTGTACTGCATCTGTACTGATGTTTGCCCCCGAAACCACATCTGCCACGAACTGTTTAGCAATGATGAAGTTGTTGGCCCCAACCGACGAAGACTCATCAAGGATGATAGACAAGTCCACTCTTTGTTCTCCGCAATCTGCATTAAACAGATAGAAAATAGAAGTAATTATAGGAACATTCCGTCCAGCTCATTATCGAAACTTAAATGAACAAAAGCACTGTTTGAAACATTGTCTAACTGATTCAGTAATTCATTATTTTAACGGCCTTGTTTTCCCTTACGCAATCTTTGGTCAATATCTGCTCTAAATGTGTACTAATCTTTTATTCCCGATAAAAATAACAAAAAACCCAGACACTATAGATGACACCAGAGCAGATATTAATCAACCTCATCGCATCACGTGGGCGTTATAATGCATCTCTGGCTAAAATCGCCGAGCCTCTAAAGTTTACATATCATAATAAAGTGGAACACTTTTGGAAAGGAATTCATTCCACTGTATCTTAAATTTGAGTAGGGAATAATAATTGATCAACGTAAAATATATATGTTAATAGTACGTATAGAATACGATTTACACAACTGTTTCATATTAATGATTATTGTTATGGTACATTTTGTAGATTGAAAGATGAATGCATGTATATGTCTATACACTTACTTATTTGTCCATTCGTCAGCGCAAGGAGCCCTAGGAGAACGACGATTGCAGGAATTGTCACCATGTTTTCAGGGTTGTGGTAGGTGATGACTCTGTCGCAACTATCGTGGACGTTTTAAGGACACGAGAAGGTTCAGTCCATTCAGTAAAAGGGAGGACAGGTTGAAGTCAGGTAAAATATTCAGTACCCTTAAACCTTTGTAAGACTGGGGTGTTTTCGAACAAGTGTGTTAGTCGTTGACACACCTGTCACCTGTATGGATTATTGAAACATTAGTTATATCGATTTTGATTAAACTTCTCGTTCATTCATCAGATTCAAACGATATTCTGTGGTAATTATTTCCGGGCAAATCGCAATTTAGTTGAGCCCATCAAACACCTTAAAAGACAAATGTTTTCGAAATAGAGATACTCATTGTTTCAAAATTTGAGAGATTAAAAATCTAAGCTAAGTGGTATATAGCTTTCTCCACGTGAGGTCATAGAAGGTTTCTTTCGGATTGAGTCTATCGTGTATACCTTCAGTGACCTAGATCATCAATTTGTTCGAGAATAACCTATTGGAAGGCTACTTACAGTGTGCAAATAGCGAGTGACTTTAGTTTTACGCCGCACTCAGCTATATTCCAGCTCTGTGGCGGCGGTCTCTAAATAATCGAGTCTGGACCAGATAATCCAGTGATCGACAGCATGAGCGTCGGTCTACGTAATTGGGATACAATGACATATGTCAGCGAGCTTGACCACCCGATCCCGTTTGTCGCCTCTTGGGTTACTGAATATTCATTCTAAACCGGGGGCGGTGGGGTAGCCTGGTGGTTGAAGCGTTCGCTCGTCACGCCGAAAACCCGGGTTCTAATCCCCACATGGGTACAATGTGTGAAGCCCATTTCTGGTGTCCCCCACCGTGATATTGCTGGAATATTGCTAAAAGCGGCGTAAAACCATACTCACTCACTCACTCACTCATTCTAAACCGGATCTTCACGGGTCCAAAATTGCAATGGGTTGTTGTGAGGATTTATTACGTCTGAGTTAGAACCTTGGAAATAAGGCAAGTACTCCTCCCTAAAAACAACACATTCCTATGTTTTAACTAAACATTCATACTTATGTTTAGAATAAATGACATCAGGTGGGACATGGCAACAGGTTTTGGAGAGTTTATACCTAGCCTTGGTCTGAAAAGTCGATTTTCCGTTCATTCCCGAACAAAAATAGAACCGATGTAGAAAGCGTCAACACGTAAGAGCTAAAACTGTGATTTACAGCTTTTGTGGATGAGTGAGTGAGGTAAAACTTAACATTGCATCGGTTGTTTAACGTGAAATATAGAAATATTCCAGCTATATTGTGGCGGTCTGTAAATAATCGTGTCTGGACCAGACAATCCAGCGATCAACAACATGAGCATCGATCTACGCAATTGGAATACTATTTGGGTGAACAGAAGGTAGCTCAGTTACAATACGATACAACATATGCATTTGATCATTCAGTTACTTACAGGGTAATTTCAGGGAAAACAGTTTCTCTCCCAGAAATGGTAAAGGTACGTTCAGGTAAGTTCTTTCAGAATGTTTAAGTATCACATTACACATCATTTCATCAACTAAAGATCCTCTCTATATCGTCGTTGGAATAGTACCGATGCCTTGGTTGACACAAGTCATTGTATCCCAATTACGTAGATCGATGCTCATGCTGTTGATCGCTGGATTGTCTGGTCCACACACGAGTATTTACGACCATGGTAGCAGCCGTTGAACGTATGTAATAACAATTTACGAATGAAGGAATTTGATCCAGACAAATGTCATGCGTGAGGTACGTGTTCAATCCTTGAATCAAGACATTCTGCAGAATGGTCAGTAGAGTACTTGTCCGATCTTCACTGAGCTTGTGGATGAAGTCAGGTTGTGGAAGAAAGAAAGGCCCCTATCATCCTTGTCGTACTTACCTATACTTCCCATTAAACGTTTAGATTCACTTAAAACACTCACTATATGTTATGGTTACATCGAAGATTGATGTCTCCACTAACGTGGGGGAACCAACTGCAAACCTTATGCAGATGAATTCCACGAGGATCATGCATCAAATTGCTGAAAAGCATGTGCAAATATCGTACATGTGAACATCTGCGTTTTGGTGTAAAGGTTTTTTAAGAATTTGCCAATTTTTACTGATTTTTATCATTCATTGAACTCATGACAATAATTTTTTCAACGTTACGAATTTGTTTTACAATACATCAGTTAATGTGTAAACGGTACCTTTAAACAGTATGGAATATTTTGCAAAATTTAGTTAAGAAATTGCATGAAGTAAGAGGCTATATTTACAATAGTGAGTCCAAACTTTTGATGGGAAGTTTATTTGCACAGACAGTCTCCTATTTTACGAACGCTTAAATCAGTTTAATGCCGTTTACAATATAAACGAAAACCACTTCGGCTGCATAACAATTAATTGCAACCACAGTGACACTGGTAGCTGAATGGCTGGATAAAATTGATGAACAGTTACGTCACATGCTTCGACACATGGCTGAACAGGTACATTGTATCACAAACATAATTTCTGACATTAACTGCACAACTTTTAACCACATTATTTATTCGAAAAATACCTTCACCATCACCATAACATTATATCATATTAACACATTAAAACTGAAGTAACAACGACGCTGTACCATGTCCACATTGAATAAAATGATGAACGAAAGGCAAGCGCGGTAAAAACCATTACTGATCTGTCACTATGATTTCATTATCCTTTTTCCCATTATTTCAAGAGACCCGTGAAGGTCCGGGTTAGAATGAACCTTCAGTAACGCATGCTTGTCGTAAGAGGCGACTAACGGGATCGGGTGGTCAGGCTCGCTGGCTTGGTTGACACATGTTCACAATTGCGCAGGTCGATGGCCATGCTGTTGATCACTGGATTGTCTGGTCCAGACTTGATTATTTACAGACCGCCGCCAAATTGCTGGAATATAGCTGAGTGCGGCGTAAAACTAAACTCACTCACTCAATATTGCAAGGAATTGTAGAAACAAATGCCGACGAAAAGTTAGAACTTTACACAATTTTAACAGAATTAAATACATCGTTACTTGTGTTGTATTTCTTTGCTCTTGTTTTTTTTTACTTCAAAGAAAATATTAAAATTATCAAAAACAAATCCGCATTAATCAAACAACATCCATTATTTGACACAAGACCACATTTTGTTGCACATGCTTTGAATTATAATTGTCTCAGTTCTTAAATAATGATGAGGCGATGTTTCCTGGTTGATGTATACAGAATCACTTGTAGTTGCCTGATATGTTTTCTGGTTCATGTATACAGATTCACTTGTAGTTGCCTGGGATGTTTTCTGGATGATGTATGCAGAATGACATGTAGTTGTCCGGGATTTTTTCAGGTTGATATATATGGTGTAGTACTCCTCTCGCGGATAACGTGTGCCAGTCTCCTCCTCTGCGTTGGAATCCTCTGCCGAGTGCAGGTGTCAATTCCTGCAGAATTAAAACAGGTTGTTTGGTTGGTTTGTTGTAATATTCCAGCTGTATGACGGCGGTAGGTAAATAATCGCGTCTGGACCAGACAATCCAGTGATGAACAGAATGAGCATCGATCTACGGAATTGGGATACGATTACATATGTCAACCAAGTCAGCGAGCCTGACCACCCAATCCCGTCTTATGACAAGCATGGGTTGCTGAAGACCAATTCTAACCTGGATCTTCACGGGCCGAATTAATACTGGAGAATCACTAGCTTTATCTTGGTGACAAAGAGAGTCCGAGAGATGTTTCATGGGATTTATGCCCCATATACATATAAATATATTACGAGAGATAGATTACGATCGGGTAGAGACTCCTATCGCAGTCTCTTCTAATACAGTAGAACACGGATATAACGAACTCCAAGGGACCACGAAATTTAGTTCGCTATATCCGGTGTTCGTTATTCACATTTGACCGCCATCTTGGATTGTAGAGATGTAGAGACACGTATAGGCTGAGGCTACAAATATTTATTCTTGTACATGTACATTGACATAACATTAAAATTCTGAATTTATCATTCACAGACATTAGCTAGAACATGTTTAACAATCACAACAATCTCAACAATACATGTATATAACTTAATTACGTTTAACAAAGTCCACAATTTTGCTCTGCACACCACGTCTTGCAGACTTCATTTTGTCGACTGCATCACAGACATCTGCAAGAGAGTCGAAGATAGAACTATCTGTACCTTCACAAACAAGTAGATGTGATTTGATGTTCTTTCTTCTGATCATAGGCAGTCAGCATTTTCCTCATTACCTGGCCCTTGTACAGTTGTTTCAGGTTTGCTATTATACCCTGGTCCATGGGTTGAATCTTACTCGTAGTGTTCGGTGGAAGGAAGACCAGTTTGACGTGTGTCAGGTGTTTCACAACAGGATGGGCAGGACAATTGTCTACAAACATCAGGATCTTACGTTTTCGTCTTGTCATACTCTTTTCCAGGTTTTTGATCCACTCTGTGTTCAATTTCAAATTTAACTGGTAGAAACTCTGATTGATCATAGTCCAACAGATACAGATGGGGCTAAAATTCAAATTTGACTTGACATTATATTACAATATTAGACATCTTACATAACAGAATACAATGAAGTTCAATAAAAAAATTATTAAAAAAAAGTAATTGAGAAAATTACTATTTATTTTGACACGTCAGTTGTTGATGGGTGGCACTTTGTTGAACATTTTATTCCTTTTTTGCATCTACATCTGTTGGTTACACAACTACCCTTGCAAGAACATACACTTGGGGCTAGTGTCTTACTTGCTGCCAAACCTGTGTTGATTCTTGAAACCTGGATGATGGAGATTTCTTGACATCCACATTCTGCAATGATGGAAACAAACATTTCGCATGTCAACCATCTGCTTTGGTCCAAAGATGTTTCTCAGACGACCATCTGCTATGTATAACTTGTACGTTGCATCTTATCCTTTACCTTGAACTTGTAGGACCGTGCATGGCAGAAGTCGAGGGTCGGCGTTTGTGCGATCCACTTCATGAATACGTATTCCAACAGTGTCCTCTTCATTGAAAGAAGTACTTTCTACATTGTCCTCATAATTAACTTGTT